TAAGGGATTTGCATGAAAGTATTGCAAGTTAGTAGGGCACTTAGTGGGAAATGATGGGGATACCTCGCATGAAGAGATTGAACATCTAGTGGGGTTTAGCTTTATAAGAAAACCATTAAAATCCACTAAGCAAAACCCCACTAGCTATTTATCTCAACATGCAAGATGTCCAACTAGGCAATGCACTACTACATACAATTAAAATTCACTAGCACACGCAACTGTAATGTCCACGTCAGTAAGACACGTAAGCACTTTTGTTGAACACGTCATCATACCATGCAAGCCCTATTCTCCAATTCCTGCAGCAACGTGCAGGGTATGCTTCTAGTATATGAAGTAGTTATGTCATGACTAAGAATCTTTTCTACTCTAAGCTCACACAAGTTAAAATGAATGAATAGTTTTATTTACCACAATATAAATGGCAAAATTACTTAGCTTGCACATCTCCATATAACTGCTTGTTACTAACAACCCATATATATGGCATATGTGCATCCAATAGTTATTTCACACATTTGTTAAAATCTTTCAAAAACATAAAATTGTGGTGTTACACTCAAGTTGAAGCAATCAAGACATAATTTTAAAGAATGTCCATGCATTAGGATAAATGCAATAACCCATCAAAGTAAATTAGACACGATAAAAAAATAGGTTCCAAAGAAAATATATACAATAGATGAACTACAACAAATAACTGAAATAAGTTCAAACCTAGCAAGGATAAATATCATTCCCACACATACAAAATCCAACAAGAACATACTCCTTAATTATGCATTAGGATAAATGCAATAACCCATCAATGTAAATTAGACACAATAAAAAAATTGGTTCCAAAGAAAATATATACAACAGACGAACTACAACAAACAACTGAAATAAGTTCAAACCAACGAAATAGAACTTAGCAAGGATAAATATCATTCCCACACATACAAAATCCAACAAGAATATACTCCTTAATTATGAAGCATGCTTCCTGAAATCAAATGTCTAAAAATAAATATTATCAAAACTTTGATGCCTGCTGCTATTGATCCATAAACTCGCCATCAACAGTTTGATGTGGTTGTTGTTCTGGCTCCAGCTGTGGTGTGTGTTCCTGTGTTTCAAGCTGGTGTGAGCTAATTAGATCATTCGCATGGGAGCCCATCGGTTGGTGCAAACCATTGGCGGATGAACCAATCCAACCTGCCATCTACGAGCTCTTTGGATTGTGTATGCCATTGGCACAAAGCATATTGTGCTCAAGAAGTTTTAACCTCTCGATCTCAGATTGCAGCTGATCATTTAGAGCTGTATAAAGAGTAGCAATCCCATGTTACAGAATTATATGAAGATATAAGTTTATAAATAAGAAGGGAAAAATATTGTAAACATGGATGAAATAGGGTCACCAAGGACACAAAAAGACATAATTGCCAACATATATAGATGACTATTGAGTATGAATCTTTGAACAAGGGAGCAAATGTCCAATAGATGAAAAACTCTTACATGCATTATTACCCCCTAGAATGATAAATTAACTGCAGCTCTTACGATCCACATTTCTAATATATGGAGTAAGCAGATCAAAGTGTATAGATCATTTTTCGCATGTTTTTATTATCAAAGAATATTAAAGTGGATATGACATTCAGCATATTAATTATGTTTCATACACATAATTCACCATATGTGTGATGTCAAACATGTGAAGCAACAATCAGATGCCACACAGTCTGTCAATGTCAAATTAATTTGATTTCGAAAAAGAAATGGATAACCAGTAAAACGTCATCTAAAATATATATAGTTCTATAAATATTGTAACTTATTATTTCAAGTTTCTGTGACACTATAATATCAATCTGTGTTTGTCCATACAAGCCCCCTAATATTAATGCATACAAGCTGCGAATCTGAAATACACACCACATACTACCATGCATTGCAAATTAATGTTCCAAAAGATAAAATAAAAAATTATAAATATACATTGAAATTGACCAAAAGAACCTTTTCAAGAGTAACTGAAAAAAAGGACAACAACATTTTCAGTGCAATCACAAAAAGTATTAAAACCATATGTAAACCAAAAAACTATACCAGGCATGTTATAATAAAAACATAACTAGATGAACAGAGGGACTTGCTGTTGACATCAACTGTCTCAGAATAGTTAGAACCATCCAGTACACATGGAATTTAACCCTATGTAGCTAATAATTGAGTTTGAGGCTAAATAAAAGCAATTAAACAGTGTAAAGATTAGGTGTCGTACATCCTCCTTTCTAATATAATTTCTATCCAAAAACTCATCGTTCAAAAATGCTTCAGCAGACAATACATAGTTACTGTTTGATAATTATTCTTGATGCATGCATCTTGTAAATTACCAATGCAGCAAGATCAGAAATTGACACCCAACAAGTACAAAAAATTTTCATGTTTATTTGAAAATGGGAGCTGCTAAACCTCTGACATTTTATGTGAAGCATCCAATGGGATGATCCATTGTTGGAAAGCGTTACTAGGAGACAAAAACAGAGCTTCTACAACATAGCTAGATGCCTAGATAAAGATACCTATAATCAGTGTCCTAAGCAAAGGGTCACATGAAGGTCTAAATATCTTTTGACATATTGAGACACGCTGGTGGAATCTTTGCAGAAAACTTGAAATAGATAACATATTGAATTGTTGTAGCCATTATGTTCTGGGCAATGCAACAAACGAGAATAATAAATAATTTATGCAAAAATGAAATAGCCATTGCAACAAATTAATTTTTTTTGCAACACACAACTACAAATTGCAAAATCTAAGAATAGTAGCCACACAAAAATGGCAAAATGAAATGTATGACAAACATTATGAACATCCAAGAAAATCCACACCGAGAGATTGCTCATCCTTATTATTATACCCATGTGTTTGTTGGAGCTCCAAGTATAGGGGGGAGACAGTGAGTCTCAAGTAAATGCCCCATTTTTTCCATACACAACACGCTGCAAAACCTTATATACGTGCAATCCGACAACTAAACAACTTGAAGAGGACAGTCGGCCACCAATAATGCATCAACTTAAAGAACTTTAAATTATTGAATTGTATTTTGGCAAAGCATGCATATCATCATCTAACGCACTACAGGGTCTAAACTTAAATGAATTAACTCTTGAATACAAGCAATAATGAACAAGCTCACCTTGGCTCAAATTGGCTTGCTCATTCAGCACCTTTAACTTTATTTGCAACTCGCGGATCTCAGTCTTCAGATTATCAACCATCTCCTGGGATAGACAAATAACATAAATATCAGCAACCTACATTGTCACTCGAGAAATAATGCTATTACTGCATGTTGTGGCCGCTACACAACTACAGAACAAACCTGGTGAGACTGCACCTGTGCAGATAATGACCTGCACTCCATCTTTAGTGCATCAGCCTGGGGGCCGAACATCTTGGCAGTGGTTTGCCTTTTGCACCTTCAGCTGTGCCACGTATTCTCGGTTATGGAGAATCCTGCAATTTATACAAGAATTGAAAAGGAGGAAATTAAGAACATTAGAGGCAGAACTAAAAGGTTGAGCACTTTGACATACACACACACACACACACACACACACACACACACACACACACACACACACACACACACACACACACACACACATACACAACACATGCATGACCACTACACATTGAACATGAGATATTGGAAATCCATGAATGAACGTAAACGTACCTCATGACTCTCTTAGGATCTGTTTTCACGAGCTCCTTGAGTTGGTTCTCCTTATTGATCGTCTCCATGTCGGCCTCAGAGAAGAAGTGCTCCTTGGTGCAGCCCCTTCGCGGCATGCTGCTGCTAGCGCCAGCCCCAAGAGATGGCGACCGTGGCAGCAACCCAGGCCTGTCCATGCCCGCAAGTATCAGCTTTGGCATGGCGGGGATGGGGGTGGAGTTTTCCACAGACAAGGAGCTGCAGTTCCATGGCGTCTGTGGCCCGGCACTGCTGCTGTTGCCACCAATGCTCATCATGTCGATCTTGTTGGCCAACGCCGGCAAGGCTGCCCAGCCTTGGCAACTGCCTGCGATGCTGCTGGCCATGCTCTGGTCGCTGCTTCTGCTCACACAGTGGATGACCACAGGGATAGCAGGTCGCTCAGCTGTTGTAGCGCTTGCTCCTTAGACCGGGAATACATGGGCATGGAACCGTGACAGTTCGAGGGAATGCTGTTACTGCTACTGCTACTGCCAGCGTTGTTCACCTTGTCATGCACGCTTGCCGGCGTCGGTATGGCCTCCAAGGTTTGGCGGCCAACACCAACTCCCTCAGCATCACCCCTCATGCTCAGCCCACTGCCGCTCCCTCTGCCTTCTAGTTCTAATTTGGTGGGCTTCCCGTGCATTGGATTGGGAAGGCTTGCGGATCCACCATGAGACCATGCAAACGAGTGCACAAGAGCACTGAGCTCGTCGCCATCGTCGAGTGAAATAATCTCGGGCTCAAGGCAAGGAGCAACGACAACGGGCTCTTGCTTTACCTGCTGTAACAGTAGTGGTGGCATCTGCAGGCTCTCGGGCAATGGGGCCAACTCATACGTCTCTGAATTCGATGAAGGCTGCATGAAACCAGACCTAGACTGATCAACAGTGGATGAACCATTATTCGGCGATATCTGGCCAAACGGCGGCAGTAGACCATACTGTCGTATTTCTAGGCTCGGCGGCAATGGAGGGAGGTCTGAGTCCGACGATGGCTGCGCATGGTCAGCCGAGCATGATGAAGAGGACTGAAAAATGGTGGTCCTGCTAGGAAGAGGCGCCACATAGGTGGAGAAATGCTGCGATGCCAGTGGCAGCGGCTCCAACCCAGAGAAGATCCTGCTGGGCAGATCGGTGGAGGAGGACGGCTGCATCTGCTGTGGCTGCGACACTGGCAAAGGGAACCCGGAGAAGTTGCCGACGGGCAGAGGCTGCAGACTAGAAAACGACGGCTACGCCTGCTGTTGCTGCAATGGCGGCGGCGCGAACCCAGGGAGGCCTCGCATGGTGAGAGCCTGCTGCTGTTGCGACGCGGACGGGAAGCCGGAGAAGTCCCCGATGGGAATCGGCGTATGATGATGGGAGTGGGGCATGGTCAACGATGACGACGATCGCGTCATTTCTTGCTCCTGCCGGCCCTGGAGCAACGGGCGCTGGGTCATTTCTTGCGCGTTCAGATCACCGAAGAGGTTGGTGCCAATCCTACGGATTGCGCTAAGCTCCGAGAGGAAGGGAGTGCGTGTGCGTGAGCCGGCTGCTTGGGCGTGGACGGTGTTTCGCCGCCGTCCCTGGCGAAGGCGAGATCTGATGGAACAGGGATGACGATGAACCTGACGCAGAGCCGCCAGAGGCAGCAGAGCCGCGAGAAGCGAGGAGGATGGGCAACGGTGCCGGTGCCGGCGGCGGACCGAGCGATGGCGACGAGCGGCGCTGGGACTGGCAGTGCGTCGATGAGGACACGCCGAGGAAAGCGGACGACATGGAACCGTGAATCGAGCGAGAGGAGGATGAAAAACCTGAGCTGGCAGGGGAGGAAGCGGCGGTGTTTGCCGCTGGTTTCTTGTGCTGCCGCTCCATGGTTCCGATCAAGACTTCAAAAGTGCGAACGAGACGAGCGGCAAAGAATCTGGCGGTGGCGGCTGTGTCGGGGCGAACAACTGGAACGGGAGCGCCGCCCGAGCTGCCGTGCAAATGGAGAAAGAAAAGGGAGACTGGAGCGTACTGACTTTGACTGCTGACGTCTGAGGGTTTCGGGCCGGGAGGAACCAGGTTTTCGAAGCTTTCCATTTTTAGCGCGATCGGATATTCTTTTGTTTGGTCGAGGTGGTAGATATCTCCCCAGATACGTGCATTTATAATTTCTTATAGGGGTTTTTTTTTTTCCTTTTTGAGGGTGTATATGGGCTTTCACAGGCTGTTCATAATTTGGTCCAGTCTGATGAGTGCAGATTCGTGATATGGGCTAATGCTTCCAACTATGTTTGCGCCACACAGGGTAGTCAGCCCATGTGAATTAGTATATACAAGATCAAAATTCACTTACGTCTCTTAATCTTGTTCGGCTGTAACCCAATTCCAAAACTCTGGAAGCCCTCCTTTAGGTCTCTAAACACTGTTTGGGTCTCGGAGCTAGTCAAAATCCGTACTTTGTATGCCTCACATGAGAGATCCACAAGTCAGCTCCATCTCCCTCCTTACTCTTCTCTCTTCTTGGTTCTATTATCGCTCTTCCCACTCGAGCTCTCTCTTCCCTAGGTGGCACGGATTGAGAGGCCTGACATGTGTCGTTCGTTGTTATAGCCCTTGCTTCCATGTCTCCTCGTGACAACTGAGATGGTGATGACCGATGATGGCATTGTAGCGACCGCCCTCAAAGCACTACAGTGCCTGACACAGATGTGAGTGATGCTAGATGGCTTCTTGTCCCGCTAATTCGGAAACCCTGGTACTGTGACTTCAAGTTTTTGCGCAGCTGGATGGCAGCGGCGCCGATCCGCTGCACGGATCCACTGCCATCCTTGCTCAAGGATAGCTGGAAGATCCTCTGCCATAGATTGAAATGGGGCTCGATCCCCAAATAGCACTCGCATAGGGTCACGAACACCGCAAGGTGAGTGACCCCATGTGGCGTCAGATCGTGATGCCACAGCCGGAAGAAGTGGAGGAACCGCCACACGAAGGGATGCACCGGGACTCCGAGCCCGACGAGATGGAAGGGGACGAAGGAGACGACCTGTGACTCGCTCGGCGCGGGCTCCGTCGCCTCTAGGTCTGGCAGATCCCATCCGTCCCGACGGCAAAGTTGAGGATCCGACCACCTCAAGCATTTCGGCCTCGACTTTCGATGAATCCCACTCCGCCATTTGCAAATGGGCAAACAAGGAACAAAGAAGCTCGGTCGCATGAGGAAGGAAGGCCAGAACCAGAGGTGTGTTCACTTTCCCTTCCCATTGGCGCCTTCTATACCCGAGCTTGTGGGAGTGAACACAAGTCGAGGGCGGCACAACCCACTCCACGCACGCCTTCTCACTGGACTTGAGTTGATCTGACTCCCCTCGAGCCACCGGGCTTCATCAACAGCCCAAATCCGCGCGCACCAAGTGCCGCAGCCTCGCCTCCGCCAGATCCACACGACGTGGCCTGACATCCCATCTCCCAGACGACGTGGGACAGCACAGGAGTGCATGCCATAACTCCTCCAACCGGCACGACAGACCAGGCGCTATCAACCGCTTGCGTGGGGCGTCAAAGGAAGGGGCGTGTCCAGAAACTACATTGCACAATGACAAGGAGGCCCCATGACGGCCTCAAGGGCTACGCCAACTCCCTAGACGGAGATCGCGGGCTCCCGACCGACAGGCGCCCGGGCGGTACTCACCAAAACTAACCAACTCCCCGGAGTGAGGTCGGGAGCCACTGAGCAGCGGGCCCAATGAGGGCCCTATCCGCTCTCGGCGTGTGCTCCGCACCCTGGCCTATGTTCCTAAGGTTGGCTAGAGAAGACCAGGGCCTGCTACCAAGCCCTAGAAGGGCATGGCATGCTAGGTGATCAGGTGGCCCCATGCCAGAGCCTAGACACTCTCGATCACCCAAACCACGGTAGGCCTAGGTCAGAAAGGAGGGCGCCTCCGGACACAAGGTCAGCAACTCCTAGACGAGTTCGCCGAGCCCTCACTCCGGCCTCAAGCTTACGCAGCATGGGTCAACACCACCGCTCGGCCACGATAGCCGAGCGCTCCCACCATACTTGGCAATCCCAAAGAAGGGTACCAGACTCTTGTCAGCAGAAGCCATCCCCACTACAGCTGGCTCGGTCACTAAAGGATCGGACTCAGCCCTTCGTCACCATCACGGACTTGACTAAGTAAGGCCACGAAGCGCTTAGGGGGCTCTTGATGAGATCCTAACATATGGGCCTATCAAGCCTCGGGACAAATGGTTCCCGACCTATAGACCCCCCGACCAATCCCTCCAGGATCACCTGGGGGCTCGAGGGCTACACCACTCAGGTGTGTTCGCACGCACCTTCTGGCTAAGGATTGGGCTGAGCCTAAGCACACCGTTGTAACACCCTAAAATTTGCATCATTTGAAAATAGGTTAACTTGATTTATATATGCATTTTGTGAGCATTTAAACTTAGAAAAATAACAACTTTTGTTAAATTAAAATCAACTATAAGGTCTAGTTACATGTTTGTGCATACATACTGCTGCATATTTATTTTTGTGATGTTAGGGTTTGATCAAAACTAAAAAAGAATTTAAATTTGATTTGAATTTGGTTTTAAAAATGTGTTTAAGAAAAAGAAAAGGAATTCTTTTCCCTCTCTCTCTCCCTGGCTTTTGGCCAGCTCGGTCTTGTCTTCCCCGCAGGCCCAGCTTCTCTCCCGTGGCCTGCACTAGCAGGCCGGCCCTGCAAGCCGTAGGGCGCTCTCTCCCTCTCCCTTGGTCCGGCCCCGTGCTTGGAGTCGACGACACCCCGGGCCCGCGTGTCAGCCGCGTCCTCCACCTTTAGCTCGTGTCCGACTCGGGCTCTGCTCCGATCCAGAGTCCGTCTCCACACCGTCCTCGCGATTTGGCGTGCGCCCGACGCCGAGGCCGCTCATAAATCGCAGCCCATGCCCACGCCGCCTCCACATCGAGCCCTAGAGCCAGTCACCACCCCCAATCGAGCCCGTAGCGCCGCCACAACCCTAAGCCACCGCCGCCGAGTTCGCTTCGCCGCTCCAGTACTTCTCCATTCACCGCGACGGTCTTCCCGAGCTTCGTCAGAGGGTAACGAACCCGTAGGTGCCTCACCTGCTCTTTCTCTCGCTCTTTTCGTCTGTACAAGCTCGCCGGAGCAACACTGGTTACCCGAGCTGCTCGGGTGAGCACAACGTCACTCCGAAGCCCTCGCGGTCTCTCCCGAATCCCTAGACGAGTTCGCCGTCTTCCCCTCTTGCTCCCTGTACTTTTGTTTTGACCGATGATGTCCGGAACATCGAAAACGATGAACTCTGGCAAGGTCAGGCCGTATCTGGCCCTGGCGCCGCCGCTTGGCACTGTGCGCCGGTGACCCATCCCTCTCTTTTAATCTCCACCGCCCCTCTCGGATCTAACGGCTTAGATCGGTCAATACCAATCAGCCACGACACTTTTCCAAAAGAGACCCTACAGTTTTCTATTTTTGAACCTGATGTCCTTGCGCAGAATTAAATTCTGATTTTGATTTATTTTAATTCAAAAATTAATATTAGTATTTACAAAACTGCCACTGATCTTGTTTTAGCCATAAAATCTCTGTTTTAGCTCCAATTTGAGCCGTTCAAGTTGTGCTAGATTCGTAGTCATGTAATCTACAAGTTCATCCTACTGTTAAACAAGTTTTCAACTTTTAATTTCAAGGTTAGATTTAATCTATTATTTTATTAAAGGAAATCTTGTTTAATTCATAACTTCTTCGTTATAGCTTCAATTTTTTGTGATCTTTGCGTCTGTGTGTTCATTGCGAGACGTATATTCATTTTATGAACTTTTCATCTTGATTTTATGCTGTTGGTGTACTGTTCTAATCTATAGCCTTTGTTTGCTATGCATGATTGCTTCTGGATGCTTGTATGTTGCTGTGATGATCGAGTATAGACGGTGATCAATTCGTGGGTGATCAAGAGTACTACATTGACAAGCAGGATCAGTAGGAATACTTTGATCGAGGCAAGTATAGAATGGGACTAACCTTGTTTCCAATTCACCTTAATACATTTAATTCATATTTGCATGTGTCACCTTGATAAGGATTTCCTAGAATTGTACTTATGCCTTGTCTCCTATGGGATATTGCATTGGGTAGCTATTGCTAGTGCTCAACGAAACCATGATCTTGTAACTTGACTAATGGTATATGCAATAAACGTTAAAATATGCTTTTTAGCAACTTAGCTTAAGAAGGCTGGAGCATTTGGTTTTATGGTGCTCTAGATTCCTCTCCCTAAGGACTTATCTGTAAGTGATCATCCGGGACTTATAGTACAACTGTGAGGGCCACATGGCTCTGGCTTTAGTCAAGTATGAGGACCTTTTCTAGCTTGTTAGTGGTTACCTTTATGGCGCAAGAGGGGCTTGCCGAGTCGGGTATAGGACAACCTCTACTCTTATGTGTATAGCCGCGAAGGAATTGTA